AAAACTTAACAGCCCGTCGACTTTGTTAATGGTCCGTATATCTAACTCGTAGAGGCATAAAAGATGGTTTTGCATATGAAAGACATCATCATTCGATGGTTAATTATGGTATAACATTTTTTTGTGATACAATAGTGAATTAGTCACCCAATGAACACAAAGAATGACACTCTTAATTTAGTTGAACCGTCGCTGCAAGACCACAAAAAATTGAAGCAGAACTCACCAAAGGCTCCAAGGAAAAAAAAATAGAGGGTTAAACTAAATTTCATCAAAATTAATAGCTACAAAAAAATTAGAAATGAAACACCCAATAGGAAACCATCAAACATTACAACGAAACCCAATGGCTTCGAAAAATATTGATGAACAATTTACTTGGTTTCCTTCGTCACAACATCAAGAATGTTGATGAACAATGCATATTAAGTAAAATGACATAAATTAAAACACAAAAAGCAAAAAGTTCCAACAAATGACATAGCCCTCATGTTTTGGAGTAATAGAGGAATATAATTCCAAAAATTAATCAACAAAGGATTGGTCACCAAAAAAATATTAATGGACATCCATCAGACAAAACATCATCAAAAACACACAATGAGAGTGGACAAAAATATGGAAGCAAAAAAAGAGAGAATCTGATCAAGAAAGCTCAAAAAACTAGACGAATTTAAGCGAAGATGCTGCGATGGATGAAACTCTAAGTACCGTCTTGCTAAACCAAATAAGAGTAAATTCCCCAGATTCCAGTCCAGGGCACAGTCCTAGAGGTAATGATGACACCATTTTTTTATGGTGAATTTCCTAATGTGGAACGTAAAGGGTGCGGGTAAGGAGACCCCAAGAAGTAGATTAAAGAAGTTGATTGCAATGAATAAGGTGAGTCTACTGGCTGTTATTGAACCAAAAATGTCCCATACCAAACTTAGGAATTTTGGTCTTGCTGTGGGGTTAAACTCTTTTATGGCAAACACAAAGGCATAAAAAAATGTGGCTTTTATGGAATGATAACTTGGAAGTTAAGAGCATGATGCACTATGAACAAGCTATGGCTTTGACTATTTCATACCACGGAGCTAATCGTGTGCTTGTCACAGTGGTGTATGGTTTCTGCGATTACTTGTTAAGAAGGCCCTTGTGGGGGCACTTACAGGTTATTTCTGCATCGTTTGCTATGCCCTGGTTAGTTATGGGGGACTTTAACATTGTGATGAGGTCAAATGAAAGAATGGGTGGTGCCTCTCCATCTGTGTTGGCAATGGATGAATTTGCGGACTGTATTCAATCGGAGGGATTTATTGACTGTGGTTATGAATGCAATAATTTTACATGGTGTAATGGTCACCATGGAGAGTCGAGGATGTGGCAAAGGCTGGACAGAATGTTTGCTAATACCGCATGGAATACCAAGTTCCAAGAATCTCAGGTCTTGCATTTGGCTAGAGGAAGTTCTGACCATTGTCCTTTGTTGATCAAGATTTTGGAGAGTGATGGTCAGTAAAGGATTTCTTACTTCAAATTTTTGGACATGTGGGTTGAGGATCCTTCATTCCTACCGTTAGTTGCAAATAACTGGAGTAGATGCCACTCAGAGAATCCCATTGAGAACCTCTTCCTCAAACTGAAAATGTTGATGTTTATAATCAAAAAGTGGAACAAGGAGGTGTTTGGGAATGTATTTGGAAAAATTAGCAAGCAGGAATTGGCTTTGCGAGAGGCAGAACGTAGTGTGGATGATAACTACTCCGATGTCACTGTGTCCAACTTAGAGGCAGCAAGAAAAAATTTGGAGGAGACTCTTAGGTTGGAAGAATTGTTCTGGAGACAAAAAGCTAATGCTAAATGGGCAATGCACGGGGAGAGAAATACCAAGTTCTTTCATGCGCTGGCCAAACAGAAGGCAGTGAGAAATAGACTGCTGAGAGTAAAAGGTGAAGATGGAGAATAGTGTAGCTCTGAGGAGGAGATTTCTCATCAGGCTGTCACTTTCTTTACTAAATTGTACAAGTCTAAAAACCATACCCTTGATGAAGAGTTATTTGGGGTCATTCCTGAGCTTGTTGGACCAACTGACAACGAGAATTTGACTATGGCTACCACCTTAATTGAAGTTAAATAGGTTGTGTTTTCTATATCTGTGGAAAGCGCCCCTGGAACTGATGGTTTCTCTGGTAGATTCTTTCAAGTTGCATGGGATATTATTAAACAGGACATGTTAGAAGCGGTTAACTTTTTCTTAAGTGGGAGAATGGTCCCAAGATCGGTCAACTCCACACTCTNACATGTTAGAAACGGTTAACTTTTTCTTAAGTGGGGGAGTGGTCCCAAGATCGGTCAACCCCACACTCCTCGTTTTGATTCCAAAAGTGTTGAAGCCCTGTTCTTTCTCAGAGTTCAGGCCCATAAGTCTATGCAATTTTTTATACAAAGTCTTCACTAAGATCCTATCCAATAGACTTGCTTCCCTTCTTCCATCTATGATTTCAAATGCATAGCATGGTTTTGTCAAAGGGAGAGGGATTGGGGATTGTATTTCTTTAGCTCAGTTAATGGTTGGCAACGTGATTCTTAAACTGGATATGATGAAGGCATACGATCGCATAGAGTGGGATTTTTTGAAAAGAACCTTGACTTGTTTTGGCTTTTCAAGCTTGTTCATTTCTATCATTGGCAACTACTTAAAGAATCAATTTTTCTCGGTCTGCTTGAATGGGAAAAGATTAGGTTTCTTTCCTTCGTCTAGAGGACTGAGACAAGGTGACCCATTTCTCCGGTTCTCTTTATTCTGGAAGAGGAGGTTTTAAGTAGAGGACTGTTGAAGCTGTATGGTGAAGGCAGAATCAAGGCTTTTCATGCAGGGAGGAATGCACTTCTTGTCTCTCATCTGCTTTTTGCAGATGATACTCTACTATTTCTTAGGGGTAATAAACTTTTCATGGAATGATTGATGAGGTTGTTGGCAAGATACGAGGATAGCTCTGGATAGAGGATAAGTAAACAGAAAAGCTCTTTGATATGTTCCTCCAATATTCCTCGGGGCAGGACAATGACTCTATCCAGAATTGCTCAAATTTCAATAAAACAATGTCCCTTCATCCACCTGGGATGCCTCATGATACGAGGAAGATATATACTGCTGGATTTTGAGGATGTGGTCCTAAAATTCAAAGCCAAAATGGAAGGGTGGTACACACGCTTACTTTCAAACATGGGCAGAATTGTGTTGATTAAATCAGTCCTTAATTCTGTTCCTATTAATTTGCTCTCTTGTCTAAGTGTGCCCAAAGGCATTCTAGTAAAGTTGAATTCTTTCATGGCCTCCTTTATGTGGCCCGGCAAGATGAGGGAGAGGAAAAGGCATTAGGTTTCATGGTCTGTAATTACAAGACCCAAGCAAGAGGGGGGCCTAGGGATTCATAAATTTGAAGGAGGCATGGGATATTCTTAAGGGCGACTCTCTGTGGGCGAACATGTTTAGAGCAAAATTCTTAAAAGACAATCACTTGATGCGAAGCGCAGGTACTGGAAAAATGCTTATATTTCGAATGCTGCAACCTTTCTTTAGCTTGATTATGACCAACTCACAGGTCATGGTGGGGAATGGGAAGAATGTTGACTTTTGGTGTTCGAATTGGACTGGATTTGGCCCTCTTCTGCTCAGGTATGCCATTTCTCCCTCATGCTTTCCATGCCTAGATGAGTTATGGGCTGATGGGTGCTGGCAGTGGCAGAGGTTAGGGGTGCAGGTATCTGAACAGTTAAAGCATGAAGTACAAAATTCTATGATTTGTTTAAGCAAAAAGGAAGATCGACTGATATGGAAATTAACTGATTCGGGAGAGTTCAATGTCAAGTCTGCTTGGGAGGCAGTGAGAGCTTCGAGTGTCCCTGTGCCTGTGACCTCTGCAATCTGGAATCAATCGGTTTTCTCAAGTGCAAAACTGCTGGGTTGAAAGATATATCAGAAAGCAGTAGTAGAGGACTCAAACTTCCAACGGATCGGTGTTGATTTGGCCAGCAGATGTTCTCTATGTTACAAGGCTGTGGAATCTACTTCTCACCTGTACATATAGTGCAGCTTTGCTAAAGAGGTTTGGGGGAAACTGGATGCATTTTGTGGTTTTCAGGTTTTCTCCGCTGAATCTCCTTTGTTTTGTATGATGAGATTGATCAAAATTTTAAAAAAAACACTCTGTAAGTCACAACCAGTTAAGAGGTGTTCCACTGGTGGTATTTTAGAGATTATGGAGGGAGGGATGCAGAAGAGTCTATGAAGATAGCTCACTCTCGGCCTATGTTGTGTTTCTAGATATCTGCTCCTCTCTGCATCTTCAAGCTTATGGCGTTAGACCCAAAGATAAGGAAGGCATGATTGGTATGGAATTCTTGAGGGCTTTAAAGGTAGAGCTGAGGCATGAGCTGAAACAAAAAATTATTTGGATAAACTGGTCCCCTCCTCCTTCGGGCCTTTTAAAGCTAAATGTGGATGGGGCATTGAAAGGAAATCCTGGAAGAGCTGGGGGCGGAGCTGTGGTAAGGAATGACTTGGGGCACATAGTTCTGGCTGCTTCTTTTTTTTATGAGGTGTGTTCCAACATGGAAGCTGAGTTGCATGCTCTCAAGGAAGGTTTATTGCTGTTTAGAAGTTATGGACTGATAAATTATAATCTTTAGATTGAAACTGATTCGACCGTGATGGTTCAAATGATAATGACAGGGCACATGAGGGCCTGGAAGTTTTGGAGAATTTGTGATGAGATCAAGGGTATATTGGAGGGTATGACTTTCAGTCTAGCTCACGTTTACAGAGAAGCGAATTTCTTGGCTGATTGTCTCACTATGTTGTTTTGGAGGGTACCTCTTCGGATTTCACACTTGATTTAAAGATTCCTCTCCGGGCTAAATTAATCCAGATGCAGGATCAACAAGGTGTTAAAACGCCAAGGAAAAAGTGCGCCATTTTGTGATTTTTTACCTATATTATGGATCCATTCCACATGATGGGGCTTTTGCTAAGGCTGCCATGGTTTATGGTCATTGGACTGTTTAGCTGGTTTTGCTCTAGTCAGCTGATTTTCTTTCCAACTGGTTCTCTCTGTGATGTGGTGCTTTCAGTTTGGAGGACTCTGCTGGTTTCCCTTGTTCCTGCTGGTTTTTCAGGCAACATCTGTTTCTTTAATGCTGTTGTGGGGGTTCTCATGTTGCTTTTCTGCTGCTTGTTGTCTGGATGCACTGTTCATGTGAATTGCTTCGCGATTGCTGCGGATTGTCTCTTCCAGCTGATCTCACTTGGTTTATTGGCTGGAACACAGTTGGTTTTCAGCTGGGACTTCAGCTGCTCCTAGCTGAGATTTATTGTTGCTTTTACGCCTTCTGCTGTATCATGTTGGCATTTATTGGCTTCCTCTCAGATGTTGGTATTTCACGGTTCTGTTCAGCAGCATTTCTTCTCTGTCCAAGTCCACTGTTCACGTGAACAGTCTGGTTGCTGCACTGCTGAATCTTCTTGTTTTCCAGCTGGTTTTCCAATTGGTTTCTTGCTTGTATGAGCTACTCAGCTGGCCTCTCTACTGTTTTTTCGGTTTTGCAATGAAGGAGTGCTGGGGGCTGTGTGTGGGTTCTGATCAGAAGGGGACTGTTCACGCGACTGTTCACGTGAACAGTCTAGATGCTGCTGCGGCTGATTTTTTTCAGCTATTTTTTCGTTTCTTTCCTCGGTTCCAGCTGCTGCTCTGAATTAGCTGGCTTTCAGCGGGATCCCAGCTGGTTTCTCTTATGGTGTTACTGCTGCCTTTTCTGATGAATTTCAGCTGCCTCTGCTCTCCCCCTTTGCAGCTGCTTTTCATGCGTCTGTTCACCTGATTACAGCTGGAATTTCAGCTGCTGTTCAACTGGATTAATGCCACTTTTGTGCCTTCTGCTGCTCTCTATGATGGTGTCTGTTGCAGCTATGGTTTTTTGGCTTGTTGGGCATTGTCTTTGTGCTCTGTTTGGTTGCTGCTGCTGATGGGGCATCTACGGTTATGGTTCACAGGCTGCTCAGCTGGACTTTCAGCTGGTCTAGGTGGTGCTCTGGTGGTGTTCCTTCTTTGTTGCCTCCTTGCGCCAATCTCGTGGCCCACTCTCTGCTGTCTCGTGCTGTTATTTTATGCTTCTCCAGCTGGTTTTTCAGCCGCTTTTCAAGCTTTTGCGCCATTCTGCTGTTCCTTTGCGCCTTTGGCTTATGTTGAAGTTCTTCTTTGTCTTTTGAAGGATTAAAGCCAACTACGGCTTTTCCTCAGCTATTAAAGCTTTGCTTCTTGTAATCATGGTTTTATTTTATGGTATTGCTTTTTTTTTTTTAAAAAAAAGGGGTTTAGGGTTTAGAGTTTAAAGTTTAGGGTTTTAGGGTCGAGAGTTGAGGGTTTAGGATTTTGCGGGGCAGTTGTTTGTTTCTAGAGAGAGAAGCTCTCACTTCTCTCTACCTTTTTCTTTGTGTTCAGCGGTTTTATTCCTTTCTGAGGCTCAATCTGCTCATTAATTATGCATTCAGCCCAGGTTCAGAACAAGAAAGCCGAAGAATATTCACCTTAAAATATAATATACTACTTTATAATATATATTTTAAAAGAATATTAAAATTCTAAAATTCAAGTTTTACTTAAAAATACAAAATAATTTTTTTATATAAACTCTTAATAAAAAATGAAAAGTTTATTGTAATTGAAGAATTATGTTGATTTAATATAAATTATTTTTAAAAAATTACGTAAAAGATTATTTTTTATCTTAAAAATTAAATGGTTGAAATTTTGGATGAAAGAAATACACATATGTAAGGATAATATTATCCTTATATTTAAAATGAGTAATATTAAATTGATAAAGTTTTTTTTTTTTTCTTAAAATTGAACATTTTATTAAAAATTATAGTGATGCATATATGTTTTAAAGGTATCGTAGTCAATTAAAATGTTTCATAGATACTGATATTTATACATAGTAAATAAAGAATTAAAAGAGATATTAGGGGTAATTTGGAGATTTAAACATATAAGTATATGATGACAATTTAGATATTCAAATATTGAAGGATAGTGTGGTATTTAAAATATTTTATAAGAGTAAAATAGTGAATAAATTTTTTTTTATGCTATGACAAAAGTTTCATTCTGTATTAGTAGTATAGATGGCAAAAAAAATACATATATATAGTCATAATGTTATCTATATATTTGAAAAAGGTATGATTTATTGATAAAGTTTTTGAACACTTTATTGAAAACTATAATTATGCATATATTTTTTGAAGAGTAATGTAGTCAGTTTAATTTTTTTTTTTTATAGATATTGATATTTATACAATGATAATAGAGAAGTAAAAGAAATGCTATAGGGTAAATTGGAGATTTAAATACATAAGGACGTGATTGTAATTTAGATATATAACTATGGAAAGATAATATGGTAATTAAATTTTTTTATAAGTGTAAAATAGAGAATAAAAATTTTTTCACTTAAGATACTTTTATTAGTAGTATAGATATGTGAATGTATTCTTGGGAAGTGATCTATTGGGAGTAGCTGGATTTTTTTTTTCAAACAAATCAACACTTTATTTCATTTCCAAAAAATTATTACAATGAAGAAAAAGTAGACAGATCTGCCTCCATAACAACCCAACTCTAACAAATTACAAAGAACTATCCACATTTTACAAAGNCTGCCTCCATAACAACCCAACTCCAAAAATTTACAAAGAACTATCCACATTTTACAAAGAATGAGAAAAAATCAAAGAATTATTGATTCTCAAAACTGGTATTCCTCTCTCGTTTTGAACCATCAACATCCTCCCCGTGCTTGGCATCGTGTCCATCGCAGAAAAAACAGTAGAAGCTCTCACCTGCACTGTCTGCTTGGAAAGAAAGAACTAGATTCTACCAAATGCCCCCAATTATTCTAAGTAGCTTCCAACAAACTCACTCTAACCACTACTTATTTTAATTTTTAATCGGTCACAAATTTTATCATAATTCAATATTAGTGTGAGTGTAATCTCTGTTGAGGGGTTAGGAGTTTAATAATTCAACATTCTTGAATATTAGAAAAATAGAAGGGAAGACTTTTGGATCCTTTCTCTTATGCTTTGTTCAGTACGATGAAAAAAAATGAAAGGATGGAAAGTTGGATAGATAAATAAAATATCATGTTTAGTAATGAAGAAAAATAGTCTCGGTTTTTCCTCTCCTCTCTTTGATAAACTCACACAAACCTTAAACCCAAACCGGCCCATCCCCACTATTCTCTCTCTTTATCACACATACACATACACATAAACACACATCCACCAACCACTTCTCTCCTCTTCCAATGCTCAATTTTTTGCCCACATACAACCACCAACCTCTACGCACAACCCCCCTCTTTCTCTCACATAAACACACACATCCCCCTCCTCTAATCCCTTTGTTTTTCAAGAATTCCCCCCCCCCCACCAACACACACACCTGCCCACCACACAAATCTCTTTGTTTATCTTTTTAGATATAAAAAAGAACCCATCACCTCTCTCCCTTTATTTCTCTTTTTTGTAGTGAATTTAGAGCACACAATGCACACACTCCCACAGCTCACCCATAAAATAACTATAGCTGTTAATTTTGTGGATTTGTGTTACTTTGATGAAATTGGTGTTAAAGTTGGTTGTTGTCAAGTTTTATTATCAATCGTTTTAATTGTATTGCGTTGAGGTAATTTGGGAATGTTAATTGTAGTTGTCTCACAAACTGTGAGTTTGATAAGATTCTCTCTTTTTTTGCTTCCATATTTTTGTCCACTCTCATTGTGTGTTTTTGATGATGTTTTGTTTGATGGATGTCCATTAATATTTTTTTGGTGACCAATTCTTTGTTGTTTAATTTTTGGAATTATATTCCTCTATTACTCCAAAACATGAGGGCTATGTCATTTGTTGGCTTTTTTNGTGCTTGGCATCGTGTCCATCGCAGAAAAAACAGTAGAAGCTCTCACCTGCACTGTCTGCTTGGAAAGAAAGAACTAGATTCTACCAAATGCTTTTTGTGTTTTAATTTATGTCATTTTACTTAATATGCACTGTTCATCAACATTTTTGATGTTGTGACGAAGGAAACCGAGTAAATTGTTCATCAATATTTTTCGAAGTCATTGGGTTTCGTTGTAATGTTTGATGGTTTCCTATTGGGTGTTTCATTTCTAATTTTTTTTTTTGTGGCTATTGATTTTGATGAAATTTAGTTTGACCCTCTATTTTTTTTCCTTGGAGCCATTCTGCTTCAATATTTTGTGGTCTTGCAGCGGTGGTTCAACTAAATTAAGAGTGTTATTCTTTGTGTTCATTGGGTGACTAATTCACTATTGTATCACAAAAAAATGTTATACCGTAATTAACCATCGAATGATGATGTCTTTCATATGCAAAACCATCTTTTATGCCTCTACGAGTTAGATATACGGACCATTACATAGTTGACGGCCTGTTAAGTTTTTTTTTTT